GAAGAGAGTTACAATTTACATGTAGAGACATCGGGTTATGAAGGGGAAAATGATTTCAAATTAACTTCAACACAGTGCAGAAATCGACAAGCTCATTTGGCTGCACTGGCTTTAAGTCAAGAATCAATTGGACAAGTTAGACTCTCCATCCTATGTTATTCTCCTATTATGTTTAAATTTGCGACTTTTAAGGAATGCTAATCCCCAAAGGGAATAGAAAAGGGAATAGAAAAGGTACTATATACAAAAGCACAACATTTTTTTTTGTAAGAAGGACATATAAGCGTTTGTCCTTGCAGAAAAACAAACGTCTTTACTTTGTTTACATCATTTATAGTATTTTCAGTCATCTTCTTAACGTAGTGGCTTTAAATGGCTTATACTTACTTTAGTGTTTAGCGATGTGTTTATTGACAATACAGAAAACTAGTTGTGTATATCCAAATCGAGCAGTTGCTCATATTAATTGTATTTTAGTTGAATTTTTATTAAAATTATTACCAACAATAAATGAATGGTTAAATGCATATGTAGCTATTGAAAGTTCTCTTATAGCTATTATCGATATGAAACATAATAAAGTAGTAAAGATAATATCAAACCCTCATTCACAAAAATCATCAAGAATTTGACCACCATCAATAACATCTATGTTGAATCTAACAATGTCCATATCGGATAATATCACAAAATTCGGAGGAACAACAAAAGAGGCTCCAGGCAGATTCATTATATAATAGCAGGAAAAAGCAAAAACTCCCTATGGATGGTCAGATCAAGCAACAGTCAACGGAATTAGTCATTAGCTAACAGGTGCTGCTGCTGAATGGTATCAACAATTAGTGCAAAGTGATGGACTTCCAGCTACCTGGCGTGAGTTTATAAAACTATTTCAAGCTCGGTTTCAATCATCCGAACGAATAGAAGCTCTGAAAATCGAAAGAAATCGTTGCATACAGCAGTCAGATGAATCCGTAGCAGATTTCTATCAGAGGTATAAGGGACTAGCATTAGAAATTGATCCTAAAATCTCAGAAAAACCTCTCAAAAGGCACCTCCTTCCGAAGCTACGTCCGGATATCCTTCAATTAATGGGCGGAGTTGATGCTGATAAATTAACGTTGCCAGATCTGATGAGAACAGCAGCTAAAGTTGAATTACACATGCTTCAACGAAAGAAAGGAGCTCAACAGAGAACTGACGAATTAGCAGAATTCTCCAAGGCAATGAAGTCTTCGAAAAATAGGAACAACAAGAAATCTATTCATATACAACAAAAAGATGTTCAACTAATCCTGAATCCGTAGTAGCTGACATTGAGTCGAAAACGCTGCCACCAACCAGTTCTCTAGGGCAGCCATCATTGGTAAATCAACAAAAATCTCCAACGAATAATGCAGATACTAATAAAATTAATCAGGAGTGGTAGAATCGAGGACAGAACAACAATCATAATAGCTCTAATTCACAGAATGTTCCCAAATAGCAACAAAGAAATCAATCAACAGTACCTACGTGTTCGAAATGTGGAAGGATCGAACATTCAACAAACTATTGTTTCTCGGACAAGAGTTGTACGTGCTGCGGACGAATGATTCAGAACAATGATGATTCAATGATGAAGAATGATTCAACAACAATCACCGCAGATGACTCCAATAATGATGCCATGTCGGAGGAGGATGCACTAAAACAATATGTTGAAGAAGACGATAATGATCCATTATGTCCTGAAAAACAAGCATCTAAAAATTCATCTAAGAAAGCTCGAACAAAGAGGAAATTGAGAAAACAGATCAAATTGTGAAAAAAGATGAAAAGAACAAAAA